GGAGTGACAGTTCTAATCTGCTTTCCCCTTAACACCCAGCTGGAGAGGGAGAGAGAGAGAGAGAGAGAGGAGGGGACGGGCCGTCTGTGACCAGATTCATTAGAGTTGGCCCTGAGGGTTTGATGAGAGGATTTGTGGTGTTGTCCTCCGTGTCCCGGCCTCTGCAGCGAGCCCACTTCTGTTAGGATCACTGTCTACCACTCGTCCTCAGCGTTCAGGGTTTTCTGGGAAGGCGGGCATCCAGGTTGGAGGTCCCTGGGAGGTCACAGGTAGGGAAAGCCACGCCCCTCAGCTCTGCCTGCTCCTCCCAGCCCGCAGCCAGAAGCCCCAAGGTGCTCTCGGGTCCTGAGGACCCAGTGGGCGGGCCACAGGAGTGGGGCTCTCCCTCCAGCCAGCCACAGGCCCCTAGGGGTCAAGGGCCTCCCCTCTCTGTTGGGGCGGGAATGGACATCAGTTTACAAGTGGCTATGGGGGGGCGGTGCCTACATGGTCGCAGCCCCTCCTCCCACCCCTCTTCTCCCCATCTCATCTCCCTACCAGCAGGAGGGTCCCAAACAAATCCTCTGTTCTCTCTCTCCTCTTCGCTCGACAGAAATCCCATGGGTGCTGGGCCTCCCCTCCATTTCACAAATTTTTCTTAAAAAATGTTTTTATTGATTTCAGAGAGGAAAGGAGAGCGAAAGAGAGATTGAAACATCAATGATGAGAGGAAATCATTGATCGGCTGCCTCCTGCAGGCCCCACACTGGGGATCCAGCCCGCAACCCAGGCATGTGCCCTTGACCGGAATCAAACCTGGGACTCTTCAGTCGCCAGGCTGATGTGATGCTCTATCCACTGAGCCAAACCGGCTAGGGCTGAGTTGTCACTTTTAATAAATGAGCATGAGCGTCCACGAGGAAAAGACATTTGAGCAGGTGTGAAGGCAGGGCGGGAGGGAGCCATGTGGCTGGCTGGGGAAAGAGCATCCGGGTAGAGGCAACAGCCTGTGCAAAGGCCCTGGGGTGCCTGGTGGGTTTCAGGAGCTCAGTGGAGAGCAGTGGAAGGTGTGAAACTGAGAGGCCCCGAGGGCTGCTGTCAGGCTTGGGCTTTGACACAGAGTGATTATGGGCCCATCGAGAGCAACATGTTTGGCGTTGGTTTTAACCCGATGCTCTGGCTGCTGTGTTGAGAAGCGAGGAGAGTGAGTCCAGGGCTGGAGCTGGGAGACTAGTCAGAGACTGTTCCATGCGGAGATGGTGGGTGCGTGGAGGGGCCCAGAGTGGGCAGATCCTGGGCGGTATTTGAAGGAGTGATTACTGGTAGGATGCGGGGCCTGCCGCGTCTCCACTGAAGTCACGGGAAGGGTGCAGTTGCTGTTAGCTGGGATGAGAAGGCTGGGGGTGAAGCAGGATTTGGGGGGATTTGAAAATCAAGGTTCAGCTTTGGCTATCTCAGGTTCCCCTTTGAATGTCAGGAGCCTAATTAACTTTATTTTTGGCCCCCTCAGGCCGCCGCCATCACGATCTGAATTCTTCTCAAGACCGTGTGGACGGCAGAGGACACTATTTCAAGACCCTCGCCTGCGACCCGTGTCATCCCCTGGAAACGGAGGGAGACCTTGCCCTCAGAGCCTTTTAATTGCTGGACCGCGGACTGAATGCCCGCCTTGTTCATCACCAAAGCTGCTGGTCCGGCTAGGAATTGGTGAACCAAGCAGAAAATTCCAGGGCGCGGGCTATTACAGGCTCCCGTCAGGGAAAATCTGCTCCCACAGCTGACGGGGAGCTGAGCCACGGCTGCTATGCTCGTGGTCCCGGCCCTGGTGCGGCTGAGCTCCCTGAGCTCCAGCAGCTGGGCCCTGTGGAGGGAACCGAGGGGAGAGGTGCAGAGACACCCCGGCCCGGGCCAGGAGGAGGCCCCTGGATGGCACTGGCTTGGCCTCGGCACCTCCCACGGAGCTGTTCTTGCCAAACTCCAAGCCCCTTCCCCAGGAAGCATCCTGGTCTCAGAGACGACAGCCCATGGCTCACAGGTAAGGAGCGGAGGGAGGAGGCTTTGCCGAGGGGTTCACAGTGCCTTTATTTTTTTAAAAAATAGATTTTTATTGATTTCAGAGAGGAAGGAAGAGAGAGAAACATCAGTGATGAGAGAGAACTATGGATCAGCTGCCTCCTGCACACCCCCTACTGGCGTGTGTCTTGACCTTATTGAACCATGACCTCCTGGTTCATAGGTCGATGCTCAACCACTTAGCCTTTAGGCTCCCAGTGCCTTTAGATAAAGCAAAGAACCTTTTCCAGGATGGTTATGGGTGTTGTCCTTTGAGTCCTGCAAGGATATCTGCAAGCTGCCCGATTGGGCATTTCTAGAATCTTCTGTCCTCGCAGAAGCTCCTGCCAACGGACTAGATCTCCCCCCAAGAGTGCCGGGTTTTTCTCATGAGATTGTGCAGCCAGGGCTGAGCCCAGTGCTCAGCTCTGCCACTTCCTGGCCAGGGGACCTTGAGCGAGTTACTTCATGGCTCTGTGCCTCCGTCGCCTCCTTTGCTAACTGGGGTGATGGCACATAGTCATGAGGCGACACATGTAAAGTGCATACATAACCCAGGCCTTGCTGACATGGAGCCCTCAGTACCTGGTGGTTCATGTTCGCATTCTGATGGTCCTGTAGTTGGATCTTGTGCAAGGTGTTCAGAATTAATAAAAAATCCTTTTATCGGAACCACCTCCAATCTTTCTCACACCGGTTCCTTGCACACAATAGGTGCTCATGATGTTGCTCTAGAACAGTGGTTCTCAACCTTCTGGCCCTTTAAATACAGTTCCTCATGTTGTGACCCAACCATAAAATCATTTTCGTGGCTACTTCATAACTGTAATGTTGCTACTGTTATGAATCGTCATGTAAATATCTGATATGCAGGATGGTCTTAGGCGACCCCTGTGAAAGGGTTGTTCAACCGCCAAAGGGGTTGCGACCCACAGGTTGAGAACCGCTGCTTTATTATTATTATTATTTTCTATTATTAATTAAATCTTTATTGTTCAGATTATTACATTTGTTCCTCTTTTTTCCCCCCATAACTCCCCTCCACCCAGTTCCCACCCCACCCTCCTCCCTCACTCCCCATCCACTGTCCTCATCCATAGGTGCATGATTTTTGTCCAGTCTCTTCCCGCATCTCCCTCACCCCTTTCCTCCCCAAGAATAGCCAGTCCATTCCCTTTCTATACCCCTGATTCTATTATAATCACCAGTTCATTCTAGAACCGCTGCTTTAGAGGGATTTCCGTATAACAGTGTGGCCTTGTGTTAGTATCCCGACTCCGTCCCATACTGCCTGTCACGAAACGTCTCCAAACCTCACTTCTCGGACCCATTAACACGGGAACGACGGACTAGCTCTCACTGTGTTGTTACGAGGGTGAAAAGCGATAGTCAACGCCAAGGGCTTCCAACAGACGCCCGCGTTACGAGTATTTGTTGAGCTGTTTCATTGAATTGAGTTCTGAAATGAAATTACTGAATTATTCTTGAATGGCTTTTACTGCTGTTGTTGTCATTGTTCTTACTGCTGATGAAACGGCAGAGCCTGAGACGGGACTGGATTAGTTTTTGAGCGATACCCGCTTTGCTGCCCTGGGTTGCATTAATTATTTACAAGTTCATTATCTGGCTCCACTTGATGGATGATTTCTTCACTCAATAAATATGTATGGGGTGTTTGCTCTGTACCAGGCCCTGTTCCAGGCTGGGAACAGGCCAGCACCGTTCTCTCCCTTGGAGTTGGCGTTCCTGGTAGGGGAGGCAGACGGAAAACAAGGTCATTTCAGACGGTGAAATGTGAAATGAGCCGTGATGAGAATGAAGCACAGAAGGAGGGCAGGTGATGGGGGAGGGAGTAAGGGGGGGGGGGCTGTGGGTGGTCAGGGAAGGCTTCTCTGAGGAAGTGACATCTTTAAGCTCCGAGGATGGACAGGAACCAGCCTTGAGAAAAGGAAAACGGGGGGGGGGGGTGTCGACCTAGATAAAGAGGTAAACCGAGGCACACTTGAATTCCCAGAAAGTGAGTTTACTTGGGAATAGCAGGTGAATTGCAGTTCAGAACACATATGCTACAGCAAGCCACGTGCACGTCCGCTCAGGGTTTGGGGCGGGCTGTGTTTATGGGTAAGGAGTGCAAAGAGGTGGGGGGAATCCAGCCAGAGTCCAAGCAGTAAGGCCCTTGGCTTGAGGACGAGAGGGGTTCTTGGCGGATGTTCACTGGTCGGGAGAGAAGGCGGGGTCTCTGTAATCGGGGCATTTACAAGAGATCGGTCTCCTGGTTCTTAAATCCCATTGTTTGCTGAGGGCGCATGCATGGAGTCTCCACTTCATGTTCTCTGGTTCCATTTCAGATTGAAATCCTTTCACAGGGGGTGTGTGTGAAGGGATGAATGGTGTACCCCAGGTGGAGGAGCACCCTGAAATGGGAAGGAGCCGGGCCTGGTGACAGACCCGAGAGAGGTCTATGTGGCTGGAGAACAGAGGGGTGGGGGGCCCAGCTCCTATCCTATAGGACCTCATGGGCGATGGTAGGGAATTCAGGTTTTATTTTAATGTGACGAGGAGCCATCAGAGGGTTGTCCCTCCCCCTTGCCTCCCCTTGCCTCAGGTATTGGATGGCTTTCTCTCCCACTTCCTTGAGGTCTCAGATGCCCCCTTCAGCGAGGCTCTCCCTGACCACTGTTCCTAAAGCTGCAACCCCCTCTGGATGGAACTGGAATGGATTCAGCTGCTCCCCACACGCCAGGTCCTCCTTCTCTGGGTGATATTTCTCCACAGCCCTTCTCATTCTCTAACACTGTACATTTCATCGCTTAATTTGTTTTTAATGAGATGAGAAGAATTTTTTAAAAATATGTTCTTATTGATTTTAGAGAGAGAGAAAGGGAGAGGAAGAGAGAGAGAAACATTGATGTGAGGATCATTGGTTGGCTGCCTCCTGCACGCCCCCTATTGGGATTGAGCTTGAAACTCCAGGCATGTGCCCTGACCAGGAATAGGACTGGCGACCTCTTGGTTCGTGGGAGGAAGCTCAACCACTGAGCCACACCGGTCAGGGCTTCGTTCCTTAATTTGATTGATTGTCCTCTCCCTGGCAAGAATGCAAGGCCCGGAAAGTGCTAGAACGGTGCTGGTGCAACGCGTGCAAACATTTGTTGACTGCGAGACTGACTAAAGTTACATGTTGTGGGTTATGCTTTCATAAGGTCCCTCTGGCTACCTCACGGGGGGTGTTGGGGACGCAGAGAGTCTAGAGAGGCGACCTGGGAAGCCCCTAGGACGAGGGTGGCAGGAGATGGCCCGGTTTATAGCGTCTCGAATGTAGAGTCCACTGGACTAGCTGACGGCCAGGGTGCGGGTTTGAGGAGGGACAGACTCACTCGGGGGTTTTGACTTGAGCACCTGTGACCATTTCCTGCAACCGGAAAGCTGGGGAGGAACAGCCCAGGGAGGCGACATGCCCGTCAGAGTCAACGCCAGGCGTCTACGCGACAGCGCAGCTTGGCATCTTCCAGGGGGAAAGATGGTGACGGGGAGGAAAGTGCTTCAAATAGTAGCAAAGCAGGCCCACGGGCAAATGTGAACTTCACATACCATGGAATTTGCGATCCAGGGAATAAAAAATCCAAAACCTGACACGTATATTACACTTAAGTACAAAGCATGAAATACTACTATGAACCAAAATGCCCCTATTTTTAAGTCACAGGAAGTGCTTTCCAACACATTTCAATGGAATTGAAAGTAAAATGAAGAGAGTGACAACGGGGGAGGTGTCCAGTTTGTAGGATTTTCTGTTTTTGCCTTTCAGTTACAGAGACAATGACAAACAAGATTTCATACTCCAGGGGCGGGATACCACCCCAAACCAGGCTTCTTTCCCAGAATGCTGTTCTCAGGTGTTTGGAAGAGGCCCAGGGAGATCTCCCTCTGCTGGGACTGCCCGGCCGCCCCCACATTTCCCGGGGCCACTTCAACCAGGTCACCCCTCCGCCCGGAGCTTCGTGCACCTGCTCCCGTCGGTGCCCATTGTTTGGTTTCCATGCACACGGACGCTGCAGATCTTTCCATGACGAGGTTTGTGGTAAGAGGCAGGCGTGGTTCCGGAGCAGAGAGGACCACGCCAAGCCCATGAAGAAATGAATGAAGCAAAGCTACGATACCATCTAACCTGCAGCGGCTTCTGGAAGGCATCTGGCTTAAAAACAAGAAGGAAGAAAAAAAAGGAAGCTGCCTCCCCCTGGCCATTCCAGCCCGGTCTCTCCTCCTGGGGGCGTCATCGAAGCAATTATTTCCCACCTCCAGCTTTTCCTGCCCCGTGAAGGCGAGGTGCTGACGGCCCCTGTTTTCCTGCACGCAGACGCCTTCCCGCACACCGTCTCGCCTGCAGATGCTCGGGAACAGATCCGCAGGAAGCCTCGCCTTTGAGAGAAATTGCTGCAGACAGGCGCGGGCGGGGCTGTAGCCAGGTGGCCGCGTGGGGAGCCCTGGGGCGTGTTGAGCATTCCGCGCGCATCCAGGCTGCCAGGACCCAGCCAGTGCAGGGCACACGGAGGCCGACTCCCAGGGGCTGCTGCAGGGAGGACGGTAGCGACCACATCAGCTGCTCTTGCAGGGGAATCTGCACTGGATTCCGGCTGCGATCACTGGGCTGGAGGGTGCTGCCCCCCCAGGTCCCTGTTCTCTGTCCTCAGGGCAGATCCGCTGGCTGGCAGTGCCTGGTTTGGTGCAGATCACGACTGCTCCTCCGGAAGATAAAGGACCGCCCTGCTCTGTGGACGCGGTTAAGCTGTGCTCTGCTGCCTCCTCAGCTCATGCTTCCCCCGGCCCCTCCTGCTTGGCCCTGGTTTAGCAAGCCCGTGTGGGACAGCCACCAGCAGTCGGGGGCCCCGCGTGACCCTGCACCCGAGCCTCAGCGTCCCATCCGTGCAATGAGGCGGTTCCACAGAAAATCGCCCCCGGCTGTTTCATGGTGATGATGCTCAGAGACCCAGGGTGTCCCGCGCACTGACTGTCCAAGACCCCCATTCCAAGGGCCTTATCTGGGGGCAGTTCCAGCCCCCCGCACCCCAGTTATGAACAAAGGCAGCGGCAAATGGGCACACACACCCTCATCCTCACTCTTTCCCGAGGACACTGTCTGCCCATACCTGCCCAGAACAAATGCTGGGAAAATGAAAATGTCAATTAAATGGTTGCTATGGCAACCTGCTCTCCTGTTTGCTGCTACATTTTCAGTGTTGTAATCATCATTTTGCCCTTATAGAGTTGATTGAATTCCTCAGTTGTTGCCTCCTTCCCCAAGTCTGTCTCCCTTTCAAAATACTTGCACGCGTGCGTGTGTTCACAAGCACACACACACACACACACTCACACACACTCACACACACTCACACTCACACACACTCACACACACACACACACTCACACACACTCACACTCACACACACTCACACACACACACACTCACACACACTCACACACACTCACACTCACACACACTCACACACACACACTCACACACACACTCACACACTCACACTCACACACACTCCACACACACACTCACACACACTCACACTCACACACACACTCACACACACTCACACTCACACACCTCACACACACTCACACTCAAACACTCACACACACTCACACTCACACACTCACACACACTCACACACTCACATCACCTCATCACACACTCACACACACTCACAACACACTCACACTCACACTCACACACACACTCACAACACACTCACACCTCACACTCACTCACACACACTCACACACACTCACAACTCACAACACACTCACACACACTCACACTCACACACTCAACCCACTCACACACACACTCACACTCACACACACACACACTCATACACACACACACTCACACTCAACACTCACACACACACTCACACACCACTCACACTCACCACACTCACACACACACACTCACACACACACACACTCACACACACCACTCACACACATACACTCACACTCACACACACACTCACACACACACACACTCACACACACACTCACACACACACACTCACAACACTCACCCACACTCACACACACCCTCACCCACACTCACACACACTCACACACACACACACACACACACACTCACACACACACTCACACCACACTCACACACACACACACACTCACTCACACCACTCACACACACTCACACACACACTCACACACACTCACACCACACCACACTCACACTCACACACTCACACACACTCACACACACACTCAACACTCACACTCCACCACACACACACACTCACTCACACACTCACACACACACTCACACACACACTCACACACACACACTCACACACACACTCCACAACACCACACTCACACCACACACTCACACAACACACTCACACCACACACTCACACACACTCACACTCACACTCACACACACACACTCACACACACTCACACACATACACTCACACTCACACTCACACACACACTCACACACACACACACACACACACACACACACACACACTCAGGCACTCACATACCATCCCCACTAGTTTGTAAAGACTTACAGAGCGGAGGATGCATCTAAGAAGGGCTGAGAATGAACCCTGGAGAGTGCTTTCAGAGCAAGAGTATACATTTTTGTGGGGGTTTTTTTGGTGCCTTTTTGGGATAGTTTAATGAGATATAGTTTTCAGTTCAAGACCAGAAAAACCCTACCATTAATTCCCTTTCTGAGCCCACCTAAGCTCTCCAACTTCTTGAACAGGAGGTTAGGTCTTTATCAAGAGAAAATATGCTCTTAACCCTACTTGGTATCTGATAAAGACCTTTGAGAAAATGTGGCTCAGTGGTTGAGCGTTGACCTATGAGCCAGAAGGTCACAGATCCATTCCCAGTCAGGGCACATGCTCTGGCTGTGACTCGATCCCCAGTAGGGAGCATGTAGGAGGCAGCTGATCAATGATTCTCTCTCATCTTTGATGTTTCTCTCTCTCTCCTCTCCTCTCTAACATCAATAAAAACATATTTTTGAAAAAAGAAAAGAAAATTCCCGCCACCTTCTCCCCCCGAGAAGAGTGTCTTACCCGTTCACAGAGTCTGGGCTGGGTTTCACCCTGGAGTTCTGAGCGGCTTGGGGAGGAGCAAGGGCCTGGAGGCAGGTGCCTGTCTGGGTTGGAATCCACTTTTATTAGTCACGAAACTTTGAGTCACACACTCCCTCTGTCAGTCTATGAAACCAAGGTTGACAAGAACAGTACAACCTCACTGGGCTGTTCGGATAATTCGGTGAAATGCCACCGTAAGCGCTGGCAGGTAGGAAGTACCCAGTCGGTGATTGTTCTTATATTCACGTTGGTCACTTCAGGAAACTCACAGAGGAAGAGGGTGCTGTCAGGTGGTCACTGCTGGAAGCCATGTGCTAGAACCTTCCTCACGCGCGTCTTCACTGCTCTTCGGAATGCGTTCCGCTCCATCTCTCAGTGCAGGCTGGGCTGCCGTAAACAAACATTCACTTATTTTTTTTCTCCCAGGTGAGAAGTGAGCTGATTTGGTTTGAATATTTGTAAATTTTTTTTTATTTTTTAAAAAATTATTGCCGAAACCGGTTTGGCTCAGTGGATAGAGCGTCAGCCTGCGGACTGAAAGGTCCCAGGTTCGATTCCGGTCAAGGGCATGTACCTGGGTTGTGGGCACATCCCCAGTAGGAGATGTGCAGGAGGCAGCTGATCGATGTTTCTCTCTCATCGATGTTTCTAACTCTCTATCTCTCTCCCTTCCTCTCTGTAAAAAATCAATAAAATATATTTAAAAAAAAATTATTTTATTATTTTTGTGTCTAATTTTTAAAATTGAGCTAACATTGGTTAATAATAACATTATATACATTTCCAGTATACGACACAATAATCCGATATCCGTATACTCTATTGCGTGCTCATCACCCAAAGTCTAGTTACCTTGTGTTACTGCATATTTGACCCCCTTACCATTTTGCCCTCCTCCCCATCCCCTTCCCCTCTGGTAACCGCCATGCTGTGTCTGTTTCTGTGAGTTTTATTTTAAAAGGTGTTTTGTGTTTTTTTTTCCTGTTGCCAAACCTGATGATGACATTGTCTATCATCAACTCCGAGTCGGTGCTGAAGGCCCTGGGGGAGGAGGTGGCATTTCTCCCATGACGGAGCGCCTAGACCAACGAAGGAATGCCCTCTGTTCTTACTCACAGGGCGAGTCCCTGCAGGGGCCCAGGCGGTCCTGGCAAAGAGGAAATGGAATGAGGGAAGCTTCTTGGTGGCGTTCATGCTCCGAAGTCTACTATCCCAGACAGGTCTCTCCCTCTGTTTCCTCGATCGGTGTCCTTGGGGAAGAGTGAGGGGCAGCGGTGAGAGAGAAGGTCTGAGCTGCCCCCGTGTGGCTGCTTCTGCGGGGGAGAGGGGCATGTGGGGAGGCAGAGAGACACTATTTTAGATGGCATCTAAAGGTATTATTACTCTACAGAAATTTCAGAATTTTAATATTTAAATATATAGATATAGATATAGATATATATAAAATCTTCACCCCTGGATATTTTGCCATTGATTTTTTAGAGAGAGTGGAAGGGAGGGGGGGAGACAGAGAGAGACACTGATGTGAGAGAGACACATCGATTGCTTGCCTCCTGCACACGCCCCCCGCCGGGGTCGGGGATCAAGCCCGCAACCAAGTACATGCCCTTGACCGAAATACTAGTAGAACCTGTGGGCTGATGCCCTATCCACTGAGCCAAACCGGCTGGGGCTTACGGTGAATATTGTACTGAATAATGAACGTTTGCAACCTTTGCAGGGTGCATGTGCGTGCGCGTACGTGTGTGTTTAAATCCTGCCAAGGAGCACAGCCTGCTCAGGGAGAAACGTGTCTCCTGGGCTCAGAGCAGTTGAAACAAGGAGCGCTCCACTCAGATTTTTTTTAGCAGATGGCAACCTTCAGCCGGTTTTATCAACGTGTTCGGTAACGTGTTCCTAAAGCAGGGCTCACGCATTACTTTACAAGTGTAATGGTAAATGGTTTCCTAAATATTGAATGTCATTAAACTAAGCATCTACAGCGGAGATGACACCACTTTAAAAATCACTGCTGGTGCTCTCGAGTTCTGTCCCCAAGCTCCCTTGCAGGGGGCGTGGCCATACATTCCTCTTCAACGACGTTGGGGCCCTTCCCCGGGACTCTAGCTATCACCAGAATGGGGAGCCCCTGGGATAGAGTCTCCACATTTCAGGGTTATAGTCTCATTTCAGTGTCAGAGAGAAACATTGATGAGAGAGAAACAGCTATCAGCTGCCTCCTGCACACCTTCTACTGGGGATGGTGCCTGCAACCTATGCATGCACCCTGACCGGGAATCGAACCTATGACCTCTTGGTGCACGGGTCGATGCTCAACCACCGAGCCACACTGGCCAGGCACACGGCTGAATCTTAAGCTGCATTTTAACCGCGTTCCACGTGATACCTGCGCACAGTGCAGTTTGAAAAAACGTTGCTGTGGGGAGGGGCCGGGAGCTGTCCTCCAAGGAGGCTGCCTCCTGCCCAGCACAGACAGAACCCCCCCGAAAAGCTCCCCTGTTTGGTTCCCAGGGTTCAGCCTCCCTGGGGTGAGCAGCTGTGGCTCTAACGATGGCACGGAGCCTGGTGGGGGAGAGCTCACCTGCTGGGCAACAGCGCCGCTCACCTGGAAGGAACTCAGGACTGCTCATCCCTCAGGCCTCTGTTCTCATTTCATGGTTTCTGCCTCAGGTTGTGCAATCCTGAACTTGCACAGCTCAAGTGTGGATTTCCAACTCTGGTGACGCCTTCATTAAAAGCAACACGCCCCTTCCATGAGCACGGTCACTACCTCCGTCTACACTGTCTCCTCAGAGACCTGGAGGGAAAGGAGGCCGACCTCCTGGCGGGGCCCCAGTTATGGTGCCGTTGGTGGCTGCTCCAGTACTGGCTGCTTTAGGCCAGGAGTTGAGCCCGTGCAGTTTGCCCACCAGGGAGAGCGGCCAGCAGGCCGAGTGTCCCTTCCCAGGGACAGGTGCGCACTCAGCTCCCAGAACTGCCCTGGGCGTGTCTGTGCTCCTGGGGAGAGGCTGGGCGTTTCTCTGACCGCCCTGGCCTTCAGCGGAGACCAGATCGGTGCCCAAGTCCTGCTTACTCAGGGCAGCATGATGAGTGTCATGGGCCCTTCGCATACTTGCCTCTGTGGGCTCCTTCTCCCATTTAAAAGCAAAACCTGCCCTGGCCGAGGTGGCTCAGAAGGTGCTGGTTTGATCCCCAGTGAGGGCACTTAACCCAGGTTATGGGTTTGATCCCCCATCCAGGTGTATTTGGGAGGCAACCAATCAATGTTTCTCTTCTTTCCTTCCTCTCTTTGATATATAAAATTTTTTTTTCTGAAAAAAAAAAAAAAAAAAGCAAAAGCTACATTGTAATAAAAATGAATATATTAAATTATATTATTCATAAAACATTTATGTTACATAAATTATAGCTTACATATGAAAATATTTTTTCATCACATTTCAGTTAGAGAAATTTGCTGCTCTTCACCCTGAAAGCTTATTTTCCTTCTGATTTTAAGTGAAATCAAAACATTCCCATGGGCCCCTGAAAGTACTGTAGGCCCTGGCACAGTGCCTACTGTACCCACTGGATGAGTTGGCCTTGTGCTTACTGGGTTTGGGATGACTCTGAGCACGTGGTTGATTTTCCTGAGCCTCAGTTTCCTCATCTGTAAAATGGGCATAGATACAGTGCTGTAATCCGTAACAAGTGGCTCGCATAGAGGCAGCCCCCATGGCTCTTGGCATCTAGTTATCGCTTAATCAGAGGTGCTGCCGTCACCGCCCTCAGCAGGGGGGTGAGAGGCTTGCTGCGGAGGGGCCCCCCGTGCCTCCCCTGGAGAGTGAGAGTTGTCAGCCTCATCCTCTCCAATGGGTGAGCCACACACTCTCTGCCCACTGGGAGGTTTGTAGCTCGGGGAGCAGAGGCGAGTTTCTGACCAGTGCGGTTGCGAAGGCCCCAGCGGATATCTCCTCCGCAGCCTCAGAAAGTGGCCATGTCACCGGGGGGCTGTAGTCCTAAACGCCTGTGAGGTGTCGTACTGGCAGCACAAGGCCCGGGAGAGAGCTGAGCCCAGGAACTAGAGGGGAAGGGGAAGGGAGGGGGGACGGCAGGTGTCGAGCCTCTCCTCCGAGCCAGGCGCCAGGTGGCTCTTTGCTTGGCTCTGGATTGGTGGCCGTGGCCCTGCGTGAGGCTCCGCAGGTGAGTGGCCTGGTAGACAGTCAGCCGGGGCCCATGTCCTTCCTGTGGGCAGTGCCCTCGAACGTCGGGCCAGCTGGACGCCATGTCCTGTCGCCAGAGCCCAGGGGAAGCTCCTGGCTCCCAAGGGCACCAAAGCCAGACCCCGAGCCCATTGACGCCAGACTCTGACCGGCCACGGCTGCTCGCAGATGTTTCCCTTCAGCTTCTCTCTCGTGGAGTCTCTTTAGTCTGATGTGGACGCTGAGTGAGAGATGCAGTCTGTGCTCTGGACAGTGCCTTCCTGCAGGGACTTTTGTTACCCCGAGTCCTATTGGCTGCGGCATAAAATATTAATTCCTGGCTGAGCGTGTGAGCTCCGGAGCCTGCTCAGGCCAGGGTCTGGTTTCACAGTCCCCAGGCGGCAGCTGCAGGCGGGGTCCCCAGCAGCCCGGGTCCCAGCGCCTGCCTCTGTGCCGCGGCGAGTAGCAGCCCCGCTGGGCACTCCGGCTCCACAGCCTCGCTCTGGGGATCTGGCGTCGAGGGGCAGGGCGGCTGTGAGAGGTATGTACCCTGTGGGTGGGGCGTGGTGAGAATCCGACTTCTGGAACCTGAACTGAACTGCACTGGCTGTCAGTGGAACCAACTGCTTGCTTCCTGTAAAATGAGCGAATCAAAACACACACACACACACTCACACACACACATGCACACACGCACGCACACACACACACGCACATGCACACACACGCACACACGCCTGCAAACGCACACACGCACGGAAGTGACGGTCAGCTGCAATTGCCTTCCACATTCTCTCCCCCTATTCCAGCACGCCTTCCTGCAGGGCCTGTGAGCTTCCCTCCAGAAGATAAATGCAAAATCCTTGCACAGGATTTTTAATTTTTTTTCTGAAGAGAGGATGGTTTTTCTTTTTCATTTGATTCTCGAAGAGGTCGGCGGTTCCTCCCCCAAATGGAAACGCGATAATGCCAGCAATTTCACTTTCAGGGCGACCTATAATTAGTACTTGGGAGAGCGAAGATCCAGGTACAGAGGCCTCCTGGAAGGATCGCTTGTGGTTGCAGAAGACGAGAGGTGGAGGGCTCTTCAAGAGGGCAGACCACGGAAAGCAGGCGCAGAGCAGGAGGGGAGCTGTGCTGACGTCTGTGGGGGGACGAGGCGTTTCTCGGTGTGGCTTCCACACGGGGACGGTCTCAGGGGAGGCAGACGTGGGGACGGAGGTCCGGGGGGAGTGGAGACGTCCGTTCACCCGAGCCTGTACTGTTGGAATGTGTGTGGTTTAAAAACAGCCCAACAAGAAAACACCCCACAGGACAACTTGCCATCTTGACTTTGAAAAGGACCTGGGGGGAGAGAGGCGGGCCGGAACGAGGGCCGGCTAATTCGGGTGGGCAGCTGCCGCGCCTCTAAATTAAGAAGGTGGCCAAGGTCAAGGCCTGACTCACAGCTGGCCCGCAGCGGCCGCGCGAGCTCAGCGGAGTGGCGTCCTCCGTCACGGTGTTTATAGCCTGCCGCGTGCAAGCTCATATCCTCGCCGTCATCACAGTAACGAGGCTTTCATGGATGGAGCTCAGAGCTCGCGTGCAAACCCCAGTCATCCTCTGAGCCCTTCACGGCCCTGTCCCGGAGGGACAGTGACTGGTGAGGGCCAACAGAGGTGCCCGTGCCCCTTTGCACTCAGGTGGGAAGTCCCCCAGGAGGTCATCAGGGTGGCAGAGCAGCCTGGGAGTGCCCAGGGGCCAGCCCCTGGCAGCCGCCAACCAGCCAGGCAGGCTGGGCGGGGTGAGATGAGCTGTACGCCGCATTCCTCGGCCATGAACAGCCTGTCCATCCTTCACGCTCCAGGTTCACGGCCCCGCGACAGCTGAGTAGCTTTGGATGCAGGTTAACTACTTGCCTGAGGCACATGAAGAACTGGTCAAGGGCTGGGCGGGGCGGCCTCACCATCAGCCTCATTCCACGCTGGGGCCTGGGCAGTGATGCAGGCGAAAGGCCATTTGGCCACTTTGAAATCTTGCTCTCTGAGGGGAGCACTGTATTTTGTCAGTAAGGCGCTGGCTGGGTGGCTCTTGGCTGGGACGAGGTGCCCAGCCTGCCTTCTGCCCACTCCTGGCAGCCCTGCCTCTGGCTGGAGACGTGGCCTTCGGGGACCCCACCACAGGGAGGCGAGGCTCACTGACCCACAGTGTTCACCCGCCAGGTTTACCTGGGAGTGAGTGACTCACCACCCCCCTTCGCACAGGACTGTGGGATTTCTGGGGATGAAGGACCTTCGGTGCTAAACCCAGAACAGTCCTGGGCAACCCAGAGGCTGACCACCACCCTCCCTGGACGCCTGGGACATGCCAGGGCTTGCTGCCTCCTCTCCAGGACATGGGCCCTGCATTGCCTTTTTTATTTATTGTTTAAATAATGACAGACTTTACAGAAAAGTTGCAAGAAAAATACAAAAATGATCATATATATACCTTCCGCCTAGATTCCCCGTGGTTTTTACATTTTAGTACATTTGCTTTATCCCTTTTCTCCCTTTCTCTCTCTCTCTCTGAACTGGAAGAGCAAGTTACAGGCATGATGCCTCTTTACCCCTAAACATTCAGTATCTATTTTCTAAAAATAAGAGATTCTGTTTTATCAGCACTGTACAACGATGGCAATCAGCAAGTTAATGTTGAAGTAAATTGTACTGTCTCATCTACAGACGGTGCTGGGATTTGAGCAATACTTCCAAAATGCCCTTTATGGCAAGAGGACATGCCAGCTCAGGGGTGGCCTTTGGTTGTCAGGTCTCGTTAGCCTCCTTCCATCTCTTCTTTCTTTCTTCTAAGTTTTCCTTTGTGTTCATGACCTTCACTTCTTGGAAGAGGACAGGCCCGTCAGGCTGTAGGACGAAGGACCCTCCAGCAGTGCCTGGCACATAGCTGGCCCCTAATACGTGCTGCCATGGATTGAGCGCCTACTGTGTGCCAGACTCGTCATGTACATTCTCTCACTCATCTCTTCAGCAGCTCTCTGAGGGACACGTGGTAGGATTACCCCCGTTGTGCACAGGAGGAGACAGGCTCAGGGAGGTCCGGGGCTTGTCTGAGGTCCTGCAGCCAGTGAGAGGTGCGCCAGGATGTTCACCCCAGAGCCGTGATCCGAACCACGAACCACAGGGCCAGTGTGTCCTGGGGAATCTTCCTGGTGTTCTATTTGCAGGTGTTGTTTCGTTGACCTGCGGAATTCTGAGGTCAGGAAATGGTTGTCAAGGTCCGGGCCATTGTCTACCCAGAACTGCCCCCAGACACCGATGGAGATAAGACTGTTGACCCTTGCACTTTCTCCAGGCCTGCCGAGAGGCAAGGTGGCAATTATCCTTCAGAGCCCTGGAGAGGTTTCCAGCAAATGGGGGCAGAGGCTGAAAGCTCACTTTGCGTCCAAGAACCCCTGCCTCCTGATCTGAGTCCCTGCTACGGGGTGGAGCAGGAGGACATGGACTAAGAAATCTTCTCTGGTCTGTACGGTTGTGGCTGTGCCTTGCTCCCCTTCCTGCCTCCGGCCTGTGCCTAGAGCCATAGCTGGAGGCAGAGCATCCTCTCACGGGGTCTGGCCACCCTCCTCCAGGAAGGCCTCCTGGCTTGACGCTCAGCGGCCCCAGGTGGCCCCACCTTCTTTACCTTGTCTCCATCCCTGCCTCTACCCCCTCCAGAACAACCCTCCTCACTCACTTTACATAATAGGTATTTGATACCTATGAATGAATGGATGAATGAATGGATGAATGAATGAACGAATGAATGAATGAATGAACGAACAAATGAATGAAAGGGCCCAGGATGCCTTAGGCCCTAAGGCTTAAGGGCTGCCTTTCACTTGTCACCCTGACAGTAGCCTTTAAGCTCTTACCAGCCTCTCCCTGGTCTCATATGCCCACTAGTTGGCCAGGAGGACTCATCTGTTCTGTTCTTAATAAAATAGCCTCCTTTCTGTCTGTTTCTGCCCTTGCTGGTGGCCAGGCGCCCCTCACCCCTCTCCCCGTGTGGCTTGCACACTCCTCTCCCCTCTTCTCCCAGGATTTCCCCACTCGGACCTCGCTCTCGCTGCTTCTCATCACCTCATAACTGCCAGCCCAGTC